TAATTATCTTGATCTATTTGTATATTGATCAAAAGATAATATTTATCTTTATCCAACACAATGTTCTATACTTTTTAAGAACAATTTCTAGTTTTCATTTAATATATTTTTTAGTAATAATAATCTATAACCCAATAAAATACGATTGTATTCAAAAGATAAAATGTTGCATCCAAAAAATATTTCAAACTATTTTGAATAGGAAATTTCTCTATAACGTCGATAATGATCTCAACTAAGTTTTTACAACTAAATGAAGAATGATTTTACTACGAAATTTTGATTGTGCGCATTAATAAAAAATTAGTGAAAATTTAATTTACATTTAATTGATATACAAAATTTTATAGATTTTAAAGAATATTATATTTTATTGAAATATGTAATTGAGTTAAAATGTACTAAAAAAAAAATTTTTTTTTTAAGATTTTATTTCAGCTAAATAAAAATTAAATCTATTAGTTCACAATAATTTTATCTTGAGTCTTAATTTTTTATATCACCCAGTGAATTATTTTTCTCTTATATTTTTGAACACCCATAGATTTTTTGGAGAATTACACTCAAACCCCTATAGTTTATCACTTAATCACTCAGATTCCTTGATATTTGAAATTTTACACACAGACCGTTGAAGTTTGTACGTGCGTAACACTTAGATCCATGTTGTTAATATCCGCTAGTATATTCATTAGTAAATTACTTTCAAATCTCTGAAATTTGTAGGCATATAATACTTAAACTCCTTAAGGTTAAAAAGTTATACGTAGACTAAAATACTCTAATTAAAGATAAAATATCAAATATTTTAAATTTTACAACTAAAATTTATGTTCTAATATGAAATATTGAAATAAATAAAAAACAAAAATCTAATTTTTTTTCTTAAAAAATTATAATTAGTATACAATTAAACTATCTATTAGAATTTAATTTGGTCGTTTAATCAACCTAATTAAACTAAAAAATTACCCCAATTAAAGGTAGAAGATATTGTGTCTATTACAGTTTAACCCCTTATTTAATTTTTTAGTTTTATTCCAATAGATAGTATAAATATATACTAATTATGATTTTTTAATAAAAAAAATAGATTTTTATTTTTGATTTTATTTCAGTAAATGATATAATAGAATATGAATTTTAGTTGTAAAATTCATATTCTATTATGAATGACTTAGACCACTTGTTTTATTTTTTAGTTTTATTTCAATAGATAGTATAATTGTATACAAATTACGATTTTTTAAGAAAAAAAATTAATTTTTTATTTTTAATTTTATTTCAATAAATGATACAATAGAACATGAATTTTAATTGTAAAATTTAAAATATTTGATATTTTATCTTTGATTGAAATATTTTTTGTCTAAATATAATATTTTAAACTTAAAAGGTCTAAATATTATATATCTATAAACTTTAGGAGGTCTGAGTATAATTTACTAACGAATATAAAAACGGACATTGATAATAGAGATCTAAGTGTTACGTAAGTACAAATCTCATAAAGTATATGTGTAATTCTCTCTTCAAAAAAATAAATGGATTTCTAGATAAATTACACTTAAACGCCTCAAACTATGCCAATTGTTTTAAATTACTACTTAACGATCACATGTCTCACATTACACCTCAAATTAATGATTTGAGTTTCACTCTACATCAATCAATAACGTCAAAATGAATTTGAACATAAAATGTGATGTCAACCTTACAACAAAGTAATTTATCCAACTTGTCATTCTCTTTTCATTTGTTCCGACTTAGTGATTCATCTTTTTATGAAAATTTAGTTCTTCACTCTTATCTCTCTTTTCTCAACTTGTAGCACCACCAACCCATCTCAAATTACCACCCTATGGTTATATCATACACCAAATGTCTATCTGAACCACCCATCACAAAAACTGTTTGTTACAATAATTGTGCTAATAAGACCATGAAAGAAGGGTCTGAAAACACCTCTTGACAACCCCCTTGAGAGACATACATTGCTCCATCGACATCATATTGCCATTGCCCACAACACCCCTATTACGCACAAGCACACACTTTTTGCTATTGGTTACAACACCCACCCTGACTACATTCTACACCACTATTACATCATTGCCACCACACCATCAATATAATAGTTTAAGGGTAAAAGTGAAACTAAGTCCATAGTTGAAACCCTGAAAGTGCAATTTTTACAATTGTCATTTAATTACTCAGATTACTTGATATTTGAAATATTACACACAGAAGCAATGACACGTGCATAACACTTAGACCCCTGCCATCAATGTCCGTTAATATATTATTTAGTAAAGTACACTCAGATCCCTTGAAATTTGTAAGTATAGAATATTTAGACCATTCAAGTTACAAATGTTATACTTAAACAAAAAATACTCTAATTAAAAATAAAATATCAAATATTGTAAATTTTACAACCAAAATTTATATTCGATTGTATCATTTATTGAAATAAAAACAAAAATAAAAATCTAATTTTTTTAAAAAAAAATTGTAAATAGTATACACTTATAGTATCTATTGAAATAAAATTTAAAAAATTAAACAAATGATCTAAGTCATTCATAATAAAACATAAATTTTACAATCAAAATTCATGTTCTATTATGTTTATTGCAATAAAATTAAAAATAAAAATCTAATTTTAAAAAAAAAATCATAATTAGTGTACAATTATACTGTCTATTAGAATAAAACTAAAAAAAAATTAAAATAAGCAGTTAAACTATAATGTACACAATTTCTTCTAACTTTAATTGGAACAATTTGATAGTTTAAATGACCAAATTAAATTCTAATAGATAGTATAATTGTATACTAATTATAATTTTTTAAGAAAAAATTTAATTTTTATTTTTGATTTTATTTCAATAAATGTCATAATAGAACATGAATTTTGGTTATAAAATTTAAAATCCATATAATAAAATAGCTCATACTTTAAATTTTATCTCAATCATATTTTCACCTTAAAAATCATCACCAATCACTTACCTCACCCATCATTCCTCTGTCAGACTCAAACATCAAGTCGCATCACTTATTTCTATCACATGTTTAATCATTTATATATTTCCTCCCTAAAAATATCACATCACTCACTTCTATCATTTGTTTAATTATTTAATATTTGATTAATTTGTAGTTAATATAATTTTTATTTCAAACATTATCCATATAAAATAGCATACACATGTTACAAAAAATTAATATAGTAAGATCGATTTTTTTGGGCGCTCGAATTTTATATTTTATCGCGTCTTTAGGCACGGGTTATGACTAGTATTTGATATTTTATTTTTGATTGAAACATTTTTTGTCTAAATATAACATTTTAAACTTGAGGGATTTAAATATTATATATTTATAAATTTTAGGGAATCTAAGTATAATTTACTAACATATATACTACGCAGGGATCTAAGTGTTACACGCGTACAAACCTTAAGAGATTTGTGCGTAATATTTTAAAAATATCATAGAGTCTGAATGATTAAGTGATAAATTTAAGTCTATCTTCAGCGACCCTCCTACCTTTTTTGAAGTTTCATTGACCTTCCTTGTCAGTGTTGGTTGGCTAACAAACGTGACAGAAATACACTTTTTACGATTTTATCATGAATTTTATAAAGATTTACATTTCACCAATTATTTTTCATTAAACTATATATACATACATATTCCTATTTCTTGTAAGTATGGACATGTTTGTTTTTCGAATATATCAGGTATTAGAAAGTGAGATAGAGTAAATAGTACTTGAGCCCACTTATCATCTTGTTTGATTAATATTTTATGTGCAGTATTATTTTTCGGGTTATAAATATCGACCCGATTTTGTATAACAATTTTTATCCTTTGTACATGACTTTAATGAATACCACCTACTAGGTGGTATTATTTGCTGGTAGAAATCCACTAATGGTACAAGTAAGGAAATTGACACAAATACTCTCCTCTATAGAGTTCACGTATAAAAAGTTTATTTTGAATTTTTTCATATATGTTTAAGTGTATGGTGTCACCGATTTTTTTTTAATTTTTTAAAAAAAATTATTTTAAATTTTTTTATTGTATTATATTTAAGCGTACGATATCATTAATTTTTAATTTTTTTAAAAAAAATTTATTTTGAATTTTTTTCTTGTATTATAATTAAGCGTACAGTGTCACCAATTTTTTTTTTTTAATTTTTTTAAAAAAAATTATTTTAAATTTTTTTCTTGTATTATGTTTAAGCGTACGATGTCACCGATTTTTTTAAAAAATTATTTTAAATTTTTTTCTTGTATTATTTTTAAGCGTACAGTGTCACCGATTTTTATTTTTATTTTAAAAAAAATATATATTTTGAATTTTTTCCTTATATTATGTTTAAGCGTACGATGTCGCCGATTTTTTTAAATTTTTTTTTATATTATGTTTAAGCATACGATGTCATCGTTTTTTTAAAAAAAAATTTTTAAACAAATTATTTTAAATTTTTCCTTGTATTATGTTTAAGCAAATATTATCACCGATTTTTTTTTAATTTTTTTTACAGTGTCATCGATTCATAGCATTAATTTTTTTGTTGTTTTATGTAGATGTTTTACATTATCCTTTACCGATTCTTTCTAGGACCAGTGGCTTGGGTTCATTGCCACGTTATTTTTGTAGCTAGGTGATTGGGCTTGTTGAGGCAGGGGGGGGGGGGGGGGATGAGAGAAGGGTGTCATGGGAAATAAGAAGGGTAAAATTGGTATTTAATAAAAATTTATGTATGACATCAGCACCTTTCTAATGGTCGGTTGGTTACGGAAGAGGTCTAGGCGAAGAGAACATAAACTAGAAGGAAATGTAGTGAAATTTTTAAAAATATAAGGGGTGTCATTGAAGATAGACCTATTTAGAGGGGTGTATATGAAATTTTCCCTTTTTAAATTGATCTTCCAATCAGGGGTAAATTTGTAATTTAGAGTCACAGATAATATCTCTAGACGTTCCTAGGTTTTTCAGAGCTCCATCCAAGCTTCCGAGTCTATACGACTACAATTTCACTCTCGTCTGTGTTTACCAAGTTCCACGGCGTTTTTCCGTCCGAATCTACGCTCTACACTGAATACCCGGCGACATCTCCGTCCTGGTGAGTCTGTTTTCTTCACTCCCTCTCTTATACTCATTATAGGATATATAGGTTTATCCATTTAACTCTGCTAATATATGATTTATTAAGAGTGAAAAGACTTAAAGCATACATATAATTGTTAGAAACTGTAATTAATTAGTGTTATAAGGAATTGGAGCGTTCTTGTGATTATTTTTTGCTGAAAAATCGTGTTCCCCTAGGCTTCGTTCTTGTGATTCTTATTTATGTCTGGTAAGGATGGAAGTTTTATGGGGAAAGTGCAAGAAAATTTTGCGTATTATCCAAATAACCCTCAAGTAAGGTATCTGATATATGTATGTACATGTTTATTGCATCTTATTATATTTTCTATGGAATTGAAAATAACATCTTCTAAGTGAAAGTAACACTTAGATAACTTCAATATATCATAATAAACTTTTTTTAGAAATCACATCAAAATATTCATTTAAAAGATTATTTTTTGAAAGGTGTTGAACTGTTAATGGTTTTGAAAGTTGCTGCAAATATGAATACAAGTGCCATGAACAAAGACAATGGTGAGTTGGGTTTGCATTTAGCCCAGTTTGGAATTATGAAATCCATATAGAGTTTCACATGACAGATGGTGAACTCTTTTACTTCATCAGGCCTAAAAGAAGACAGTGAAACTTTCACTTGGTTGGTACCCACTACCCAATGGCAGGAGCTCCAGCCCAAACCTCTCTGTAAAATGATGAGCTAGACATATTGATATTACCCACTATGAGAAATCTTGATTTATAGGTATTGGTGTCATTCTTTCAACCATTAAGGTCCCTTGAAGGATTTGATTTTGAACTCTGCACCATCTGTGCCTTGCATCTAATTCAAGTTCTGTCTCTTTCTTCTCTCTCCGCTGTTTTCTTGGATTTCTTTGGGATTATCATGCACTAATTTTTCCCGTGGAAGGTGTTTTGGTTTTTGGGTATATAGTACTTCGTCTCATTTTGGTATTTTGTTTGCATACTTCCTGGACTATCTTTGTACCGGTGAAGAGATGTCGTGGAGGTGGAGGGAACTATGGGCAGAATGGGAAGCTTGATCAAACTTCTTTAATATTGCGAGAGATAAAACTTTCCTCGCACAAGTTGTTGGAAATCGAAACCTATGTTTGCATGAAAAAATAGTGGTTACGAGTTTCCTGAGAAATCAGAGTTTCTACCAAAACAAACACCAAAAAAGTTGGATTCTTTTCTCTTTCACTCACTTTCCTTCACTCTCCCATTAACCAAACGGTCCTCTAGGAAGTATAAATGCATGTTTTGTTTTTATGTGGGCTTGAAATGTAACCCAGTGTGGTCATGTTACACAGGGAACTGGGAATGATAGAACTGAATGTAGACATAAGTGTTTGCATTTTGCACGAAGTGACTGCTCTCGCACTAGTTGTTTTCTCACCGGTGATACCCGGAGCACTTTACCATTGTTCCGATCAATAGCCCCTATTTTGGTGTTGGGCTTGCCTCACAAAAATCATAAGAGAAACTTGGTATTTGATAGATACATCAATTATTAATTTTTGGTTCACACGGAAAATTTTTAGATGTTGGAGGCGCATCATGTTGTTTGTATGTGTTGAATTATTGAAGAATTTAACGCATTAGTTTTTTGTTTTTATAGTAATGGTGTATCAAACTTGATGAAGGTCTAGGTACCTAGGCAACAAATATGGCCATTATTCTAATATTGACAAACAATTACATAGGAAGTTTAGTTGTGTTTAATGGTGTGGCACTTTCAAATGGTGAAGACAAATGACATATGCATGATACCATCACTATTTTTAGGTGTTATTAGTCTTTGTTCGTAGAGAGGGAGATCAGAGACGTACCTTTTGTTATTGTGGGTAGTTATATGTTTGCCCAAAATGAAAGTGATTGCTCTGATTATGCCATTTCTCTTGCATTGGAATGACTCAAAACATTCCACAAGTAAAGACTTGAATTAGTGAAAGACTTATAGTGGCCATTACCTAACGTAAAATTTGTTGGCTACCGCCACAAGGTTGTGGGTTTGAATGTGAGGTTACCAACGTCAACGGATATGACTTTCAGCAATAATGACATATGAAAAAAGCACAAATGCTTCGAAGAAAGTGTTTTCTGTGTGACACAGGACACCAGTACTTCTCGGATACCCTTAGAAACATCCGGCATTCTTTTGCCACGTATAAGTAAACATTAAAATTCATTTACCTTCCGGAAACAAAAAAAAAAACAAAAAAACATTAAAAGTCTTGATTTGGGACATGTGTTCAATTTTCTTTGAGCCACGGTTTTTACACTCTTAAATAAGCACATGGTTATTACTTTGGGCACTCATTGATGTGTAAATGTTAAACCTTGAGAGTTGACAACTAATTACTTTACAGACCTAGACAAATTATATATGTTACTACTGATATATTGTGTTTTATTTGTTTAATAAGTTTCAAATAACATCCATACTGGTATTAATGTTTGAAAAAAAAATTCTGAGTGCAGCAACTTTTCCTTGGATAGTGGAAATCATGGCGTAACTCCAACACTCAACCCATTCTTAGCATGTCCTCACGCTTTACTTGTATGAATGCCTTAATTTGCTCTTGGAACATCACAATTCTCTAGTATAGGAAGTTGTCATTGAGCAGAATGAGCAGATCTGGTCTGCTGAAAGGGAAGGGTGCAAGCCATAGTGAGTTTTCCCAGAATGAGCAAAGAGGAAACTTCTGCTCGTACAAGACCTTTCAGTTTTGATGAGATAATGCGTAGGAGGGAAAGCAAGAAATCATTGGGTGATAATAATGAGGAGCCTGGAGGCGCGGGGAATGTACCAGGAAACGACATTGTCAAGAAGGTCTCTGATCATTCAGAATCTGACAGATGCAGACACAATGATTCTGTACCAAGTGGTACAAAGCATGCTTCAGAGGATTTTCTGAAAGTAAGTTCTAGGAAGGAAGAAGATAACACTTGTATCAAAGAGGGAAAATTAGTTAGAGGTAAAGATAAAGGAAGTCGTGACTCCAAAAGCAAATCAAAGGCTACACCAAAAAAAAGTATCAACGGTCATGAAGGCAAGGGAGGTAAGCTTGGTGGAAGAATTCACGGCAACAGGAAAAATGATGAATTATCAAGCGAGGATGTTGAAAATGAATCTGAAAAAAGACATTCTATATATTTGGCAGACAAGGAGAGATATGCAGATAAAAGGAGAGGAAAATCTGTAAAAGAAAGAAAATATGAACAACAAAATAATGATGAGAGATATGCAGATAAAAGGAGAGGAAAATTTGAAAAAGAAAGAAAATATGAACAACAAAATAATGATGATGATAGACGCATACATGGTAAGAGGAAAAATGATAAGTGGTCAGGTGAAGATTCTGACAAGGAATCTGAGAAGAGACATTCCAGATATTTGGGAGATAAGGACAGATACTCAGACAGAAATAGAGGTAAATCTGAAAAAGAAAGCAAAAGGAAACATTACAATGAAGATGAACATAGAACTGGAGAGAGAGATGCTGGTAAAAAACATAATTCAGGGAACTGGCATAATTCAAAATTTTCTGAGAGAAAGGAGAAGAAAGAAACATCACAGGTTCATCACGAAGAATCGAGGCCAAAAAATATACGGTCAAGAAGCAGAGAGCGTGATAAAGATAGAGGTAGAAGGTCCATTTCACTTTCACCTAGGGCCCACAAACGTACATCTTATGATGTGCGAGAGCATGGAGACCTGTCCTTGCATCCTTCTAAAGATAGGTTGGGAATATCACATTCTGATGTTGATCGGAAGAGGATCTCCAGTAATGGTTCAAGTAGTCACTATCAACGATATGGTGGTTCTGCAAGTAGGCTTGGCGGCTATTCACCGAGGAAGAGAAAAACTGAGGCTGCTGTTAAGACTCCTTCCCCAACCAAACGTTCCCCAGAGAAGAGAACTGTTGGTTGGGATTGCCAACCTACAGGAACAGAAAGGGAAGTTACTGGTTCCGTTCGTTCTAATTTGAAGTCTTCAATTGAAATTGCACCATCCAGCACACTTCAATTGCCCGGTGTGGTTCCTGTCACTTCCATTGCGAAGAATCCTGTTGGCATACTTTTAAATGCTTCATCTTCACAGATGAATGCCTCCATAGATTCCATTCAGCTAACACAAGCAACGCGGCCTATGAGGAGGCTTTATGTAGAAAACTTGCCAGCTTCAGCCTCTGAGAAAGCTGTTATGGAATGCTTTAATAATTTTCTGCTATATTCAGGTGTCAGTCAACCCCATCGAACCCAACCATGTATCAGTTGTATTGTAAGTGTCCAGTCCATTCTGCATCTATTTGCAATTAAAGGAAGTTGGCATGTGTCACAATATTTTAACTGCAGATACACAAGGAAAGGGGTCAAGCTCTTGTGGAGTTTCTTACACCTGAGGATGCTTCTGCTGCTCTTTCTTTTGATGGAAGATATTTCTCTGGATCCATTCTTAAAGTCAGACGCCCCAAAGACTTCATTGAAGTGACTGTAAGAGTGATAGCTATGCTCACTTCTTCTGCTTCCTTACTTATTGTTCATGCTATTTCATTATTGATTCCTTGTTAGTGGTTGATATATTAAGATTTCTGCTGAATATGTAATATTCGTACTTAAAATTTACACACACACACACACACATATGAGCTTCCATCCCTTTGTGTCTCCTTTAACTTTTTTTTGTTAAATTTTGGTGCTTCGATTTCGTCCTAGTATCTTTCTTCATGATTACCATAGCTGCGAATAATGGGAGTTATCAGAGTGTGGATCTTTAAATGTTAGTGGTTTAGTTGGAGATCATATCAGTGTCACAGAAAATTTAAACCTGGAGAAAATTGTCGAACTATTGTTCTATGTTAAATTTGGTTTCTGCGAGGCAAAAGGCTGATGCCCTAATCGACATTTTGAGATTATCTGTGAGATTGAAAACGATGCTGCCCTCTATGGCCAATATTAGGACACCAAAGCATTATATGTTCAGTCTGGATCTGTTTAGGAAGGCCTGTAAGCCTGTTTAGAGGAAATGGATGAATCCACCAAGGCATGTGATGTAGTGTCATTTTATCAGAAATGAGAACCTCATGACCAATTGAGCATGATGTAGACCCATGCTGTTAAGGGGCTGCATTACCGGGGGTCTGAGGTGGACCACCAAAAAAAAGAGGAAGAAGAAAGTAAAGTGTCCAAGGACAGTAACAACTTTGATGGTGCAATCAGTTTTATGAACATCAAGGCAAGGGTAAGAGTTTTTATTAGTTGAAGTCACTTGAGCAGCAGAAAATTGGTGAATTTCTTGTGTGGTCATATTGTAGCTGCTGGTTGTTGGATTTGATTTGGAAGGTCTATAAATTGTGATTCACTGCATATGTATTCTATTTTTGAGGTATTGTGTGTATATGTTTCACTTGTTAATGTGATGTGATATTTGCATAAATAGTGGCCCAGCAATAAATGTGTATATATGAGGTAGTTATGCAAATAATTTAATATGGCTAAGTGATATTGGATGCCTCTAAGAAACCTAAGGTTGTGCCACCTACAATTGATTTCATTATGGATTTGGGTTGTGAAAAACTTCTAGGGTTTGGTTTAATGTATGGAAGAAGGATCCTGGACTTTATGAACAGAAAGGATTGAGATCGCCTTATTGTTTACAAAATTTTGACAAATAGGGTGCTTTAATCCTCTGGACAGCTAAGAATTTTATTGTTTTGGTGCTAATTTGTGGACTAACGGAATGGTAGTGGATTACGGTTGATTTGATCTCAACATGGTGAAGTTTTAGAACTGAAAGTGGAGCTGTGAACAGCAACGCGATAATTGTACCTTTTGCTAGGGTTGAGTCTTTGATTGTGAGAATGGATTTGGAGTTCTAAATCAGGTTTTTTTTGGTATGTGAACAGATGTGTGTAAAAGGAAAGGAAGAAGAAGAATCCAGGAATTCCACCTAGAGTAATTATGTAAGGTTGCATTGAGCACTAGAAAATACTCCACAAGCTTTATGGAAATCCTCAGCTCAGTTTATGTGTCGACCATTAAAATTAGAAGATTGTATAGATTCTCATATGCTGCTGAACTCTCTTAAATTTAGTAACACAATGACCTAAAAATTGGGGAACTGTTAGACTATATGACTCCATGACAATTCTGTAGTACCTTGGACTTGGAATAAAACATGTAACAACATAATTTCACCGAAATTAAGATCCTTTGACCAGGATGATAGTCTATGTGCAAAAACTCGGTAAATGAAAACAGCTTAGTGACTTAAAAATTATCTTCAAATGAGACTTAATATGGGCCCTAAACATGATTACATGAGAATACAATGTGCTCTATGCTGAATTCTGGAATTCTTTTTCCCCCCCCTTTTATAAAGCAATTTCCCTTTTCTTGTTTGTTTGCTTGGAAATTGTCTTGTATTACATGCTGGATGGCATAGATGGGACCTCCTTTCTTTAAGCTCTTCAGCATGATTGTGAA